ACGGAGCAGCAGCGTTTTAGAATGAAAACAGCCTCTTCAAGTTTTCGCCGCTCGAAAACTCCGGCGTAGTGTGGACGGATGGTGTAACCGTAGCAAAACGTATGCGTTTTCAAACTAAAACGCATTAGTGCAAACGGAGCCTGAGACTAAAACTGTTTCAATGGTGCCAGAAGTAAAAAATCTTGAGCAGTGGACAATGTGAAACATGTCTTGTTCTCTGATCCACCCTCACCTTCAGTGTCCTTCCCACATCTAGAAGAGTTATGGTGTGGTGAAGCCCTAAAGAAGTATCCCACCCAGACTGCTGATGCCCAGAGTGAAGCATGGGGGTGGATCAGTGATGGTTTGAGCTCAATGTCATGGCTTTCCCTATGCCCAATACTGGTGCTAAATGAATGCTGGGTCTCTGCCAGGTACTACCCAACCATTCTGCAGGACTATTTGCACCCAATGGTTTAAACAATGTATCCTAAAGGTGGCGCCATGTATAAGGCAAGGCAAGGCAAGTTTATTTATATAGCACATTTCATACACAATGGCAATTCAAAGTGCTTTACATAAACAAGAATAAAAGAAACAAGTAAAATAAAAATAAAAACAAATAATAAAAATGCGTAAAAACAAAACAAAACATAAAAACACGTAAAATGTGGTATGAACGAATGAAGAAGAAGAGAAAAACATGATAGTGCAATCTGTCGGACGCAGCACAGTGCTCATTCAGTAAAGGCACAGCTGAACAGATGTGTGTTCAGTCTTGATTTGAATGTGCCTAATGTTGGAGCACATCTGATCATTTCTGGAAGCTGATTCCAGCAGCGGGGGGCGTAGTGGCTAAAAGCCGATTCACCCTGCTTTGACTGAACTCTTGGAACTTCTAGTTTATATGATCCTAATGATCTGAGTGATCTGTTAGGTTTGTATTCAGTGAGCATATCTGTAATGTATTGAGGTTCTAGGCCATTTAGTGATTTATAGATCAGTAATAATACTTTAAAATCTATTCTGAATGTAACTGGCAGCCAGTGTAGAGACCTGAGGACAGGTGTGATGTGCTCTGATTTTCTGGTTCTGGTTAGAATTCTGGCTGCAGCGTTCTGGATGAGCTGTAACTGTCTGACTGTCTTTTTAGGAAGACCAGTGAGGAGTCCATTACAGTAATCCACCCTGCTGCTGATAAAAGCATGAACAAGTTTTTCTAAATCTTCACTAGAAACAAAGCATCTGATTCTTGCTATGTTTTTGAGATGATAGTATGCTGATTTACTGACTGCTTTGACATGACTGTTGAAACTCAGATCTGACTCCAGAGTCACACCAAGATTCTTGACCTTATTTTTTGTCGTTTGACCTTTAGTGCCAAGGTACGCATTTACCTTGAGAACCTCATCTTTGTTTCCAAACACAATCATTTCAGTTTTCTCTTTGTTTAACTGAAGAAAGTTTTGGCACATCCAATTGCTCATTTCATCAATGCATTGGCAGAGGGTGTCAATGGGGCTGTAGTCATTAGGCAGTAAGGCTAGGTAGATCTGAGTGTCATCAGCATAGCTGTGGTAGGAGATTTGGTTCTTTCTCATTTTTTGGCTCAGAGGGAGCATGTAAAGGTTGAACAGGAGAGGTGCCAGAATCGAGCCTTGTGGGACTCCACACGTCATGGGTGTCCACCTCGACCTATGGTCACCTATACTGACATGGTAACCTCTACCTTCAAGGTAAGATCTAAACCATTTGAGGACCGTGCCAGACAGCCCAACCCAGTTTTCCAGCCTATCCAGAAGTATGCTGTGATCGACAGTGTCAAATGCAGCACTGAGATCGAGCAATACCAGCACTGTTATTTTACCTGAATCTGTATTTAGGCGTATATCATTGATTATCTTTATAAGAGCGCTCTCTGTACTGTGATGTGCTCTGAAACCAGATTGAAAATTGTCTAAACACCCCCTGAAGTTTAAGAACTTGTTAACCTGGTTAAAAACAACCTTTTCAATGATTTTGCCAATGAAAGGGAGATAAAGATGATAAGGATGATAAAACACCAATACACAGAGCAAAACTGGTGACAGGTTTGATGAACAGGAAAGTGAAGTTAAACATCTCCCATGGCCTGCACAGTCACCAGATATAAATATTCAGCCACTTTGGGGTGTTTTGGAGGAGCAGGTCCGACAATGTTTTCCTCCAGCAGCATCACATGACCTGAACACTAAACTGCAAGAAGAATGGGCAGGACTTGTATCCGTCATCTCGCAAGACCAACTGATGTTGTATTGGCCACAAAAGGAGAAACTACACCATAAAAATGAATTATTGTGCTGTAAAACTTTTTTCTCTCTACCTAAAAATATTTTTTTTTATGCATGGCACAACAATTTTGGTCATTTTAAGGGCAAATGCAGCAAGAAAAACTGCTGATTTCAATCGTGCAGTTATGATCTCCTGTGACTATTGCAATAACATGACACTTTGTTCATTAGTTTCACAATCCCACTTAAACAAGGGGGTAATCTAATTTAAACTGTGGCAAAAGGTTGTGACATGAGCAACACAGAACATTTGAGATCCACAATCACTCAGTCATAAATCACATTTAATGTTATCTCCAGGACCTAAGAAGCACATCTATTTGTTTTGACATTAAATGGTTTTCTTTGAAGTTGCCAACCAACAGTCTAACATTCATTTATGTCATATGAGAGTTTGTAGTGCTGTATTTAGATTTTAAACTTTATCTGTGTGTGTCTCTGGCATATCTCAGTTTTCAGGCCACTTCCCCCTCAAATACAGTAAGCAGGATCAACTTAAAGGTCAAATTATTTGCATTGTTCCTCATGCGATTTCCCTAATGTAACAATGTTTCTTTGTTTTCAGCTTCATTTTTTTGTCCATGTTATTTCCTGAAACAAAACCACCTCTTCCCCTTCTTCCCTATTATTTTAATGGTTTATCTCACTTCAATGATATCATATAATAATAGTATGCAGGAATCATCTCAGTATCATTGTCACGATCACCAGCGATCTAACAGCCAGAGATGACGGGCAAAAACTCACATTCACATGGACTACAAATCCGCCACATTATGGGCTACAAAACCCAGTCATGCATCTCCCTCACACACACACACACACACACACCACGGAGGATTGTTACACACACTTTTTAAATAGCACAAACACTCACGGTAGTCGCTGAGTCTTGTTATCTGTTAAGTGACATTACAATGCGCTTACTTTGTTTTGCTTTGCCGTGTTTTGATCCTCGCCTTGTTAATCTATTTGTCCCTGTCTGCTGCTTGCTTTTTGACCACTTGCCTGTTTCTTTGACATTGTTTTTGAATTGCGTGTACATCTGTTTGCCCATGTGTTGACCATTGATTTCTTGACCATCCTGTTAATAAAAACCTGCAATTGGATCCGCACCCCTGTTGTCAGTGTCACATCCCCTTTACAATCATATTATAGATTTATATGTAAAATGTGGAAATGTATAATTTTTAACAGACAGAAAATCATATTGAGATGACTAATCTTCCAGCATCTTTTTCAACAAAAGACAGATCTACACATTAAGATCAGTGTTACCTTGTAGGACTTGTTCTTGTCAAAGCCAAGACATTCAGCCTTACAAAATTACAGGGCTTGAAGTGAATTATATTGTACAGTATACTGAAATATAATGTATGCACATATTTAACTATTCTTTGATGGAGCTAATCCTAGTACACATATTAATTAAAACTGTATGTAGATAATTTATAATGGGGCAAAGTGCTTTTTAATATAGAATCAGCTGAGCACTTTTTAGGTGAAGAAACTATAGAATAACTAGTCTGTCATTTTAAGAATTTTTAGAGTAAACAGCTAAATTCAAATTGATTTTGTTTCTTAAAACAATTCAGTTAAAACTTTTTTTTTTCACACAGCAATAGTGCAGATATTGCATGACATACTGTTTGACTATGAGCAAGTAAACAAGAGTGAGTCATGGAACATGAAAGTAAAAGTTACCAGCATCCACCAACTGAAGGTGTGTTTGGGGAACACAATTTACCTAGTGACGTTCTTATGACAACCTGCAATAGCAGAAGAAATTATGGATTGTGTCAATAAAAATTACTTATGAGCCAACAGTTTTCAGGTTGTCACCTCTGACCTCCTGTACATCCAAATATTTATATGCTGACCTGGCTCATTGAAAATATGTGCATGCCTCAGACTACATTTTTGCATTGCTCCAGTTATGTTTCATTGCAGCTTCTGATGACAAAATCATTAGAGGGCTCTGTCTACAATTTTGTGATATTGAATGATGCTACTAGGATACTTTGTGGTTTGCACATGCATTATTTCATCAAGAAAACCAGACAGCAATGCAAATACTATAATTTGACTTTTTAACTGATCCTGCTTACGTCATACAGGCAGATCTGGAAAGACGTGTCAACACAAGGCTGCATTCTACAGTGGCTGAGAGAGCTTAACATGCTGCTATAAAAAAGCATGCAATTACAAAAATGGCAACATATTAAGAAAAATCTTTATTGCAAATCATCATAATGCACACACATTGAAAGCTAGCTGCATTTTCTCACACCACATGCAAATAGCATGGAAAACAACATAAATGCTTTAAGGGGACCCTAAAACATGATGTCCAGCGTCATACCACCAAGTTAACACCATAATTAATTTTGGGATTCAAGTAGCAGAGCAGGTACAGATATATCTGCACCTATACTGTTGTTCACAGAGAGATTTGAAAGACTCCAAGGAGTCAGAGGAAAGACTAGTCAGAGGTTTATGTCCTCAGCAAATAAACTGTTTGTCAAATGTTTATGAAACTGTCTTTCTATCTTAGCTACCATTATTGTGTATAGAGGAACAAGCGAGCAGTATGACACATTTACAACCCTACCCCACCACCCTTTTGAGTTTAAATGGTCTTACAAGAACGTCCTTGGTTTACAAAAAAAAAAAAAAACACACATAATCTTGTTTTTCTTTGAGCATATGAATATTTATTAAAATGAGTAGGAGGTGCTTTAAATCAAACAGACTCTGGTGTCTGTGTAATTCTTCTCCACACCTGTGAGCTGCAGATCAGGGTCCAACACATCTGAGGTTACAAGCCTTTAGCGAAGCCAACATCAATAAGTAAGTTTTGCTTATGACTTTTTTCTCTATCCAAAATGTGTGGATTGGGGTGAGGGGTCACTCTTTACAATGAAATGAAGAATATCATCTCAGTTTTCACATGGTTTCTATGTTTGTACTTACTTTCATGTTCATTCTTCTGGGAAAACCTGGCAAGACTGGTCTCCATGAGAAAGTGATGTTTTCATTAAAGTCTGAAAAGAGTAATAAGTCTGTGTTTATTGTATTAATAAAATGCAGGCTAATATGGGCACAACTTTATTTTATACAAACACTTACAACAAATAAAAAATAATAAGTTGATAATAGGGCAAATTATAGGTGCCGCTGGGTAATTTATTTGAAGCAGCAGATATGCATGTAATTTGAGCTGATCTGGGGTGTTTGCCAAACAACGATGCAACTAGTGGCTAAACTACCATAGCACTGTTGTGAATTTCTCTGGCTCATGGCACCAAAACTGTTGTGAAATTCTAAGACAAACCAAAAACCAGGGAGAACTTTTGGGTATCTTCAAAGCAGAATCCTTTAATAAGAAGCATCATCGAAAGAACTCTAAACTGGTAAAGCAGACATTTCGTTTAAATACATTTTTACAGACATTGATGCATGTAGGTGGGGACAATCTAAAACAAAGCATGCAAATGAAGTCGGATGTCGGTTGGGTAAATTGCCTTTCCAGCCCGATCTCATCAGCATATAAGTACCCATTCCCGATACATTTTAGCATGAAAACAATGATGTTTTGTAGACAGAACCTGTCCGACCAGTTGACTGGCCTGGCCATTTGTTAGACAATAGACACTGCTGTGCTGTAAAACTGTCAATTTGCATTGCTTTGGAGACAGTCAGAGCTCAGGAGACAAAGAGATTTTAAGGTCTGTCACACCCTAAAAACCAAATAGTATAACTTTCAGTTATATATAGATTATTGCTAATTTGGAACTAGATTGTATAAATTTCTATTCCCACTGTACGATGTATCATTTGGGAAATAATTAATGAAGTGATGAATGTTTCCCAAAACAATAGTTTTCAATCTGTGACGCAGCATGTTTTTGTGATTATCAAGTGCCACGGTATGTAGAGTAATGTCAGCAAACCACCAAGAAGAAGAACCACAACCAGGAGTAATGTCCTGGTTAAGTATGTAACACAATCCACGAATAGGGAATGGAGACGTGTGTCTGTATAAACAGACTTTGCGAGTGCTTTAAACGACCAATCATTTCTGAAGATATAAAAACGGGCCAATGAAATGCCAATTAAATTGGCGGAGCTTAGCTCCACAGCTGAAACTGATGAGTCAATTAGGGCTATATCAGTCTGCTGTGTGAGTTAACTCGTCAGAATTTTGCCTGCTGCAGAGCGGATCGCTCAGCTTTCAGCTGGAGACTCAGGTGCTGTGGCAGTGGAGACACACATCTCCGTTCTATTCAGGGAACGTGGGTTATGTACGTAACTAGGATGTTCCCCTTTATGGGAACATCTATGTGTGTCTGTATAAACAGACTTTGGGAGACTGTATGGAAAGCGCCTAAGCAACCAAAGCCCATCACACTCCTAATGTGTAGTTTGTCAAGCCAAAGCGCGAACGCACTGACATCACCAAGAGCGCAACCTTCCAACGTCCCCTAGGCCCAACATATTACCTTTACATGGGAATAAATGTTTAAAGTTTAATTGGGGTTGTAAGTTTGCTTTTACCTAGCTAATATAGATTAGGGATTTTTGGAACTACAACAGTATGTTGGAAAAGCGTCAGTCCCCGCAGGGGGAGGATGCGGCGGAGACCACCTTCTACCCAGAAGGGGAGACCTGATGGTAAAGAGGAACTCTCTAGCATTCGCCTGAAAAGGGGAATTTATTAGCAGAGTAGAAAAAAGCGCACGCATCTCATGGTTAGGGAGCATGGCGCAGCAAGCGTTTGTGACACCGAGCTTAATTCCCCTTCAATTGATTGGGGTTACCCAATAACCGGGAGGAAACTGGCTCCATTTGAAGATTATAGAGTATGTTAGGTGTCGCCCAACCCGCAGCTCTGCAGATATCTGTGAGAGAGACGCCACGTGATAACGCCCATGAGGTAGCGACACTTTTAGTAGAGTGCGCTCTCACGGTAGGCATTGATAAGCAAGGGCGATGGCATCAACTAACCAGTGGGCCAACCTCTGTTTTGATACGGCCCTTCCCTTCTGCCGACCACCATAACAGACAAAGAGCTGTTCACATGATATTACATTTTGCGTTTGTTCCACGTAAAGGTGCAAAGCGCGAACGGGACAAAGCAGTGAGTGGGTTGAGCCTGTCTCCTCCAAAGGCAGCGCTTGCAGGTTCACCATCTGATCTCTAAATGGGGTGGTAGAAACCTTGGGCACATAGCCAAGGTCTAAGGACAACGTGAGAGTAACCGGGCCCGAATTCAAGGCAGGAGTCGCTGAACGAAAATGCCTCCAGATCCCCAACTCTCTTGAATGACGCCAATGCGATCAGCAGAGCTGTCTTTAAATGACAGAATTTAAAGACATACTGACTCGAGTGGCTCGAACGGATCTCTCTGCAGACCCGCTAGGACTAGAGAGAGATCCCAAGAGGGCATGAGAGGAGCCGGGACAGATTTAACCCCCGCGTGCCTCTGAGGAATCAGATGATTAGATCATGCTTCCATCTTGTTGCCATCTACCGCATTATGATGAGCGGAGATCGCAGTCACGTAAACACTCCAGCTTATCCTGAAGGAAGGATAACGCAATGCTAATCTAGCAAGTTTGGGGATCTTCTCGGCGAGAAGCGCACCATTCAGATAATAGAATCCACTTCAGGGCTCTAGCCTGAGTGATGGTGTTAAGTACCGTGGGCGGTAAGTCACCTAAGTCTTCCACGCTCTGTCTATGGTCCACACGTAGAGGTTCCAGAGATCTGGGAGAGAGAGGAGGCCCTCCCTTAGGGGAATGCCTCAAGGAGGGGCCGATGCAAGGAGTGTGAGCTTCGAAACCCAGGTCCAGTTGGGCCAGAAGGGTGCAAAAAACAAGACCTGCTCCTTGTCCTCCCTGACTTTGCACAAAGTTTGTGCGATTAGGCTCACTGGGGGAAACGCATATTTCCACATGCCCGATGGCCAGCTGTGAGCCAGTGCATCCGTGCCGAGGGGGGCCTCGGTCACGGAGTAAAACAGCTGGCAATGTGCGTTCTCGGTGGAAGCAAACAGATCTATCCTCTAAGCGCACCCATATCAGCTGGACCGAATTGGGGTGGAGTCTCCACTCTCCCCGGGAAACTAGCTGCCGTGAAAGCGCATTGATACGACAACATGCCTGGATACTAGCCCTAGGAGCACTCCAGCCCGTAGAAAAACCAGATCTGTCAAAGGGCTGAGGGTACGGAGACACAGCAGAGTGATGCGCACCCAGTGCATGTCCACGTGCCATGCGCTAGGGCATCCTCCGCGAGCTTGGTGAAAACCCGCGTAGACAGAGAGAGCCTGTAGGGGAGGACTTTGTATTGCCACGCTCGTCCTTCGAAAGCGAACCGGAGAAAAGGGCGGTGGCGTGGAAGAATGGAGACGTGAAAACATGCATCCTTCAGGTCTATCGCTGCAAACCAATCCTGTGGACTGACGCTCTGAATCAAGCATTTCTGAGTGAGCATTGTGAAAGGCATTTTGTATAAATGACAGTTTAGTCTGCGCAGATTTGGGATTTGCCTTAACCCACCGCTCTGTTTGGGCACGATGAAATATGGGCTGTAAAACCCGGACCTCATTAGCTGAGGGGACCTGCTTGAATGTGTCCTTCGCCAGGAGGACAGCAATCTCCTCTCGCAAGACAGGGCACTCTCGGGGATAACCCTTGTGAAAAGGACACCCGTGAACTTGGGAGGGCGAATAGCAAACTGAATCACATAGCCGAGTCTGACCGTTGGTATGAGCCACCGCGACGCACTGAGCGGCGCTAATCAAGCCAATACAGTGCGCGCTAATGGCACCATCAGAGCGATTGCTGACGTGCCAGAGGAGGGGCAGCTCAGGATGGGAGTGCTCATCCCGGCAAGCAGTGCGTCCCGAGGAAGAGCTGAAAATAAGAGAATTTCTCTTACCTTCCTCCCTGGATCCCGCGATGAGGCCAGAGTGAGAGAAAGGAGTCCGTTCTGCTGCACTCTGAGAGCCTGAGGCGAGGGGTCCTGGCGCTGCAAGCTGGAAGACTGGCAGTGCTCGGGTTTGTGCATCCGGAGAGAGAGGAAACTGCTCTTTTGGAAATTTGGTTGCCGTTGGCCCGGAGGCCGGCAGCGATGAGTTTAGAGTCATTGTGGACTGATGTAATAATCCTCAGCCCTCCACCGAGGAAAGAGCAGGTCCCCTCTTCTCCGAATGGCCAGTCCAGGGAACGCTTTGGGAACCGTTTACCGGACTTAACAGGACGTCTTCCCCAGGGCAATGGCAGGCGATTTGGTGGTTATGACAGCATAATCGGTTGGCGTGCGGAGCTCATGCAGCAAGCCTGGGGGAGAACCACCCTCCTGCATCTCGGCCAGCTTCTCGGCTTGGGAGCGTTGATAGGTGGCCATAGCGTGCCTAACGGAGGCGGCATGGCCCGCATCAGTGTAGGCTATGGCCATGAGAGAATCAGATAACCTGCACGCTTTGGAAGGGAGTTTGGGCTAATCTCTCTGAGTGGTGTGGCCCCACGGACAAAGATTGACCGCGATAGCACGCTCCACTCGGGGAAAATCGCCTCATATCTCCTGGCGGCTCCGCCATCGAGGGAGGTGAGAGCAGGAGCGCACAAGGTCCGGGCAGAAAAAGGTGCCCCCCATGCCTGCGTGAGCTCTCTGTGTACCTCCGAGAGGAAGGGGGTGGGGGTCTAAAAGGCTACAGCTTTGCCCCCAGGAAGCACCCGTCTAAGCTGTCCGGTCACGGTTTTGGGGGACAAGCCATCTTCAGTCCCACGGCTGAAGCAGCCCGGAATAACATGGCTAACATTTCTGACTCCAGGTCCGAAACCTCACTGACAATCCCGGAGGGTGGCAGGGGGTCCGGATCTTCATCGGAGCATGTTAACCCGCCCTCCAATGCAGCGATGGACATAACGTCTGTGGTGCCATCTAATGAAAGCGATGCGAACCCAGAGGATGGACCAGCGCTCGCACTCGTAGCAGAGACAGAGCGCACTGACGAGGAGCGAGGGGTCCGCAGGCCCGAAGGTGAGGGAATAGACCCCACTGTAACCCTCAAGCCTGCCCGAGTGCTAACCGCTTGGCGGGGAGCAGCAGGGGTGACTTGCCCTAATAAAAGAGCTTGCCGCGACCTCAGTTGCACAACAGTCGAGCCATTGCAATTCGGGCAAGATTTGTCTGCGAGCACCGCATCAACATGTTGGACCCCCAAGCATGTGAGGCAATACTCGTGCCTGTCATCCGGGGTGAGGAAACCACCGCATCCAGAAACGCACGATCGAAACAACATCTTTAGAAAGACGCGCTGTACGACCATGTGCTGTCTTAGGGAATTCTGCTCTTTGTAGAAACTGCTCTTTTAGATCCCCAGCGAAACACCAAGGGGACGGGAAACCCAGCTCAACCACCGCTAAAACATCTTCTTCCGCACTAGTGAGGGAAATTCTTTCTTCAACGTTGGAAGAAAGCTCAGCAGAAGGGTTCTTTAGTCTCAGATCGGGTCTGAAGCAACAATTCTGACGAGCTGTTTAAACTGTTTATCAGGAGCTCCACAGGGTCAATATACACAGCCGGGCTGCAATTCTTTGGTGACTCTTGGGTTGTGGACAATATGAAACATACATATATTGTTCTCTGATGAGTCCACCTTTACTGTCTTTCCCACATGCAAAAGTTACGGTGTGGCCCAAAAGAAGCCCAAAAGAAGCAAATCACGCAGCAAGGGTGTGAACCTAGACAGGTGTCATGGTTCAATTATCAATGTCATCAATTCGGTTTGGTTCAGTTAAATTGGTGCATCACAGTTCATACACAATGCTACATTTATTCATTCAATTTATTTTCGCCTTAGTCCCTTTATTAATCAGAGGTTGCCATAGTGGAATGAACCACCAACTTATCCGGCATATGTTTTATACAGCAGATACCCTTCCAGCCACAACCCAACACTGGGAAACAGCCATACACTCCTGTATTCACTCTCATACACTGTCCAATATAGCTCATCCCATTGCCCTATAGCGCATGTGTTTGGACTGTGGGGGAAACTGGAGCACCCGGAGGAATATATATATATATATATAAAAGCCTGCTGAAGAGCCGAACACTAGGACAGTGTTCTCTGTCACTACAGAAACATCTCTATTTCCTATTCAGGGATTGGAGCTTACTTTAGTAACTGAGACATTCCCCTTCATAGGAATGCCAACGTGTGTCTGGAAGACATTTTTGGGAGAGTGTATGGAAAACAACACAGCAGCTAAGCCTGTCACGCCCCAATTTAAAGTTTGTCAAGCATAGCGTGAGCGCACAAGCATCACCAAAACAGATTTAACAAACTTAGCAATGTCCCTTGAGCCCTTAAATACCATTACGTGATAATAATTTAGAAGAACTTAGATTTAGGGGTTGTAAATATACTTTTACCTAGTTAATATAGACTCGGGATTTTATAATTACAAGAATACGTTGAGAAAACGTGCCAGTCCCTGAAGAGGGAGGATACTACTGAGGCCACCTGCTACCAAAATGTGGATACCTGACGGCGAGATGGGCATATGGGCTAGCCCTAAGGGGGAGCACTACATATGATTACCGGGTTAGCTGGTAGGGAAGACACGGGTCTGCCTCAAAAGGGGACATGCCAGCAGTTCAAAGGTTTTTCCTAGAGGTAAAATAGTGGCTCCGGGGCTCCGCTGTACTTCAGTGTCATTGAAAGACTGTCCAGCAAACTCAAAAGCAGTGAATTGTGCACAGTTGTCTGCTTTTTAAGTAATTGGAGCCATTTATTTGCTCTTAAAAGACTTAAAAGACCAACATTACCTTTGGAATGCAGTGAAAAGAGCAACATCTTCACATGACACATTTAGCTTTCTGTCTCCAGCATTTGCATATATATTACTGGATTAAGAAATGTTGTGTGACTGCACATTAATGCCAACAAAATAATGTGGAGAATAAAGACTAAATTCGGACTTATATAATTTGGGATATATTTTTTCACAAGATTAAGTTTTTTTTTTTTTTTTTTTTTAATTTGTACCAAAAAGGATATGTTTATTTTAATTTTTGTTTCACAGTGTCTGAACTCAGGATTGTGCTGCTTGGTAAAACTGGAGCAGGGAAAAGTGCAACAGGAAACACCATCCTGGGCCGAAAGGTGTTCAAAGTGGGAGACTATTCTGAATCTACAACTCAACACTGTGAGAAACATGAGGTGCTTGTGGAAGGTAGAAACATCTCAGTGATCGACACTCCTGGAGTTTTTCACATGTTCATGAGTGAAAGACAGGTGAAGGCAGAGATTGAGAAGAGTCTGGAGATGTCTGCTCCTGGTCCCCATGTCTTTTTGTTGATCATTAGGCTTGGGAGATTCACAGAAGAAGAGAAGAATGCAGTGATATGGATTCAGAAAACACTTGGAGAAGAAGCAAAGAGATTCACCATTCTGTTGGTTACAGGAGCTGATCAATTAAAGAGACCATTAGAAGATTATCTACCAGAAAACAAAGATCTGCAGAAATTAGTAGATGAATATGAGGGAAGATATTATGTCTTCAATAACCTGCAGAAGTATGGTGCTCAAGTCACCGAACTGCTGGAGAAGATCAATGCAATAGTAGAAAACAATGGAAACAAACACTACACCATCAACAACACACAGAAACAACAAATGTTGAAGGATGGGATGAAGTTTGGATGTATAATGGTCATAACTGTTTCAATAACTATTGGTTTAAAATATTTGTTAGTTGGACAGCATAAATAATCAGAAAACAAATTCAGTTGTAGATTACCTTGCAATCTATACTGTTGTACATCTGAGTATCTCTAAATATGAAATCATACAAGTCGCAAAATTATTTTTGAAATGTAGTGTAAAACAGCTATGACGTGTAAAATGGCAATGTGTTTTTATTTAAATTTGCACTCTATGACCCTGTGTGCAAAGTTTGCAGCAAAGTTAAAATATACAATTTATATTTGCCTTTTTCAACCAGATTTAACGTGTAAATTACATAGTAATTTAAATGTTTTATAATTTTAATAGAATTAAATTGAAAATGTTTCACCAAAATTGAATTAATGTGTCCAACATGTACAAGCAGAAATGGTAACAAAATAATCATAAAAATGTTATTTGTCCTAAGAGCATTTAAACTCAAGATTAAGCATAGCCCATACTGTGTAATATTTAATAATCCTAAATGATTGTAGTATGTAAGACTGCATGAATATGATCTTCATGTCACACTGTAAGATCTCTGGTGTCATCAATATGTCAATCAAAATGCACCAAACTGACCCACAAAAAAACTGAACTCACCTAGAGCTTGACTTCATCCATCCATGACTCTTTTGAGATGGTGTTTGATGTTTGAGTGTTTGATTAGAGCTGGTGCTAAACTGTGCAGGACACCGGCCCTCCAGGACTGAGTTTGCCTACCCCTGGTATAGACTATCCTGTCACAAAATAAGGCAAAAATCCTACACGTCATTAATAGTTTTATTGCGGTATTTACATGTTTACATTCGGAGAGCAGCATTTACAGCAGATTTTTCAGTCCATAATATTGTAGTGATATTAACGTACTGTCTTTAACGTAATGTCTTTAAACACTGAAAGAGTACTGCTGATGATACAAACTAACTTTGCCTCTGAATAAACAAAGACCACTGATTACTCACTTACCAAATCTGTAGAGACAGGACATTCAACACCAACTGGAGCCACGTCTTTATTTAAAGAAGACAAGCAGCAAATCCGGATTTCACCATTTCCACATGCGAAAAGCTCTCGAGAAAGAGTTTTTCCTTAAAAACACATTTCTGTCCCTTGCACTGTTATTCACACGTGAGTCCAGCTGCGTTCTCATAGCAGGAAAATGAAAACAAAACCTTTGGTGCAGCACATTCATGAACACAATACTGACGACCCGTATCTACAAACAATTCTTGTTCTTCCACTTGTCTTGGCAACACAACATGGCGTCTCTCTGCCGTCTGAACACTGTAACAGGTCTTCAAAGCTATCATGCATATTAATGAAGTTGCACCACATACACAATAGAGCACGCTGATTGGTTTGAACAGTTTCCCCAGTTTCCCCTGGCTACCCCAATGCTCTAACCAAATCACTGATTGAAATGTATGTCTTGTAAATAGATTGTTTCAACTGAAAGAAATAACTGTGATCTTAAAAATTTTTAGTGCCTTTTATTTTAGCATAGATATTGGGTATCGGGACATGGATGTGTGTGCTTTCAACATGGATATTGGTTATTAGCTGGTGTCTGTACTTTTACTCAAGTAATCAGTGACAAGTCATTTGTAAAATTAATTTGTAGAAAATAAACTTTGGCCAAGAAAAAAATAAAAGAAACGTGTTTCTGTTTTTTTAAATGTCTGAAAGCTTCATCAGTTTTAGCTGTACATAAGTAAATTTGCACATATTTTTTTCACTCTAGACTACCCTTTTTTATCACTAAAATATCATATTTTTCAATCTTGCAATGCTGCTAGATGATAGAATTTAAATAGTCAGGTTAAACTGGCAGTGTGTGTGTATGTATGTATATGTATGTTTATGTTTGTGTGTGTGTGTGTGTGTGTGTGTGTGTGTGTGTATATATATATATATATATATATATATATATATATATATATATATATATATTATGGTTGTAAGCCATCATTTTGTTTTAAATGAAAATAGATCTGAGTAATTATTTCTGCTTGTTTTTTGTCCTATTTTGTCTCTTGAGTGTCTTGTACTATTGCAGTTCTGTCCCCTGTCCTAATATTCCTGCCCTGCCAGTCTGGAGTTTATGTTGTGAGCTTCGTATATCTACTGGTTCTTTTTACTGCTGCTCTTACTCCTGGCAGGCTGTTGATTATAATGTTGTCTCTCTGGCGACCTTCTGTGTGTTATTGTCTCAACATTTTGAATCTTTTCACCTCTTGTTTGTCTACCTGTACCTTGTCCTTTCAACAAACACATTGTTCTGTCCATCACTGCAACTGGATCCTTCTTTTAATACCCTGATGCATGGCTTACACACTTTCAGTATGAAGCATTACAAGAATAGACATACTAACAGTAATCGCTATCTTAAAAATATTCATCTTGGCATGCCAGTTATATATTATAGGTGATCACATGAAGATCCAGAAAGAAATGCAAACCCAAAAAGTTTTTATTTATTAATTGCCCATATTTGCATATTTCCAGGAGAGAAAGTAAATTAATACCTTGATTTGGCCTCATAAGAAGAATGGAAAACAGAAGAAGACACAATTACCAGCGTCTTCGAAGTAAGTACTGAATAATTAATATTATTATCCATCCATCAGTTCATTCATTTCTGTGTCCGCCCTTGTTTACAGTGTTAGATTTGAATATTATGCTTTTGGGGGGTACTGGAGAAGGAAAGAGTGCATCTGCAAACACCATCTTAGGAGCTGAGCACATATTTCAAGAAGATTTTTTACCTGAGGCTGTGACCAGAATCTGTCAGTCAGAACAAACAGAATTGGATGGAAAAACAATCACAGTGATTGATACCGTGGGACTCTCTGATACAAACCAGATGAAAATCACAGATGCTCAGACTGAAATGGAGCAGATGATACGGCGTATAAACCTTGATGTGTTTCTGCTGGTGATCAAACTCGGCCATGTCTTTACAAAGGAGAGAAGTGCAGTTGTGCAGTGGATCAAGGATAATTTTGGAGAAAAATTCTTTCAACACACAATAGTGCTCTTTACTTATGGAGATCAGTTGTCTGTGCCCATAGAAGATTATCTTAGTAGGTCTCAGACACTGCAGTACTTGCTTGAAAAGTTTTCAGGTAGATTTCATGTTTTCAACAACAGAAACAAAGACAGATCTCAAGTCACTGCACTTTTACATCAGATAAACAAACTGATGATGATAAACGAATACAGGAGATACACTGAGAAGGACTATGCCATGGCTCAGAGAAATCTCTTGCGCAAAAATTGTCTTAAAGGAGCAGCAGCAGGAGGTGCAGCAGGAGGTGCAGCTGGTGCAGCAGGAGGAGCAATCGCTGCTAAAGCAGGAGCAGTTGCATTAACTCTAGGAAAAGGAGCACTAATTGTATCAGCAGGAGGAGCACTTCTGGTAGGAGTAGCAGCTTGTGCTGGTGTGTATTGGCTTTCAAGAAAATATGTAACTAGGGATGTGCCTGCTACGCAGGACCACACTGAAAGGGAAAGACTCTTCATGGCAGCACATGTTAATGAGTGAGATGTACTCACTGTAACAATACAATACATTGCAGGCATACTTTGAACAACCAATGTAAAATGGATAAAGACATCATGCAAGAAAGCACTTCAAATCCAAACAAAAGAGAAAAGACGTCATATAGACACCAGTTATCGACAAACTGCAGACATTGAGGTCAGTGTACTTGCATCCATTAAAAAGAAACAAGCTAGAGTTTTTGATCATGCTACATACTGAAATGAGATCACTTACAGTAAGTCAAGTCTGGAATTACCTTGCAACCACATCAATAAACTAGAGCAATTCAATAAGTCCCTTTTAAATCTTGTCAGAACACTTGGCGAACACATGGATAAAGCTATAAAAGAAAACAAAACAATGTAACAGATGATCCTCGACATTCTATCCAGATGCATGCATGACAAACTGATCTTCAACCATTCGACAACTATCCGACAACCCTGAAGTGATGATTAAGGATTTCCCTAACTTCCACCAGACATTGTAAGCCAAACCACCTTCCACAAAGCTCATGTCTTGGATTACCTTCCTACCACTTATACACATATATGAAGTTTACAACCATTTTTATGTATCTGTTTTATTATAGCTTTCTACGTCTGTTTATGCACCTATATCTCTCATTACATTCGAATGTATCGCGCCACAGGGTGTTTCTTCGCACCTTTGCATTGACTTAACATGTAAATCACTCGTGCTTGACACTTCTTCCACGTTTGGTGTGAACGCAGCATTACACAGCACATAAGAAACCACAATCTACCCAATTATAATCAGCGAACATGCTACAATTTCCCTTACGCTAAACATTCCAACAGTTATTATTAATTCTTAGTGCTAATAATAAACACTGGCTCATTCTGAAAACATATCCCTATATACATTTCTGGAGATTGCAAAATATGTAACCAGATCTACGTATGGCTGCATTTCATTGTTTAAATGACCGATACGTGGCGGTGTGATGGCGTTCATTTCGACCCTACCAGCTGAGCTGTTACCAGTTTGTCGGTAGCTCAACAAATAGGCAGACTTGAGATGCAGAAAGGAATTGACCTCAACAATGAGGTTCAAGTCCGGAGAGGAAGCAGATAAAAAAAAAACCCAAAAATAAAATAAAGTAAATAACAGGGTGGGAATGTGGTAAAATCTGAAAACGTGTAAAATCAGGTGAAGGATTTTTTTCTTTTTCCAGGTTGCTTTTGAAAATTTTGAGGTTGAGTTTAGAGAAGAGGATGGGGTCAATTGGTCAGTCAGTAATTCAGTCAGTTGACAGCGGGCTCTGGTGGATGTATGAGAAAACAGCAGGCTTGAAGGCACATGTGAGAGAAATTAGAGATCTGAAAAAGCATACACAGCGGCCTCTGGTGGATTCACCAAAACGAAAACTGCACAAAAACATATCTCCTGGGACGTAATTTCCTCTCTCCAGAAATGTATACAGGGGTATGTAATCAGAATGAGCCTGGGTTGTTTCTATGAGATGATGTTTTATTACTTCATGAGCCTGACTTTGACAGATTCATTAGGAGGGAGTGGGTCTTCTTTTGTGAAAACAAATGACTCTCCATCAATCAAAGCATTTACCGTCATCAAATCAGTTATCACAAGGAAATTAATCTTTCTTATCACACTGGAAAAACCTCCAATAGCAAATGAAAAATGATTTACAATGATGAATCAAGCATCGTACAAACACTTGTATCTTTTTTTTTTTAAATCACACTTTTCTGTTTTCTCATTTTTAATTTTCTACTGTTGGTTACTCTTTATTTTGATGGTCCATTTGAGTATTAGTAGACTGTGTGCTTAATATCTGTTGATACTGCTTCTTCAACAGACATTTAACTGACTATAAGAAACTTTTCAAGTACATGTCAACTTACACTAACCACAACCTAACAGTCTACTTATAATCTAATGAGAATTAGTTGGCATGTAGATCCAATAAAACTTAATTCAACAAACAAACCAGCAAAATAAAGTGTGACCTTATGTTCTACTATTCCATTTTGTCAAGGGCTTGTATACATTTGTACTTTTTTTTTTTTTTTTTGGTGTACTACTGAATATCAAAGTTGCAAGTTAAATAAAACAATGTTATGTCAAATAAATGTTTTTAGACTAGTCAAATAATCAATTAATAGACAATAGATTAATTGTAATAAATATATAGTTGTTAGTGGCAGCTCTAATGTAAAATAATATAAAATCAATATTCTGTATCCAAATTTACATGTATAACATCAACTGTCTCCTGCAACAATTAACGCTGAATAAATGTATAGCTAATGTATTGCTAAATAAAATAAACAACTCTCATTGTCTGGCTCTTTGTGCATGAAAGTCTCTTGTGTTTGGCCTACATTCTTGAATCATATTTTTAATGCTGTTAAGGCAGTTTTGTGCTTGACATGTGTCGACATAAAAGGAGAAGACCTATAAGAGCTTGCATTAACCCAAGATTCTCACAGAAATCAGTCAAATTTGGTGAAGGAAAAATCATAGTTTGGGGTTACATTCAGTACGGGGGCGTGTGAGAGATCTGCAGAGTGGATGGCAAGATCAACAGCCTGAGGTATCAAGACATTTGTGCTGCCCATTACATTACAAACCACAGGCGAGGGCAAATTCTCCAGCAAGATAGCGCTCCTTCTCATACTTCAGCCTCCACATCAAAGCTCCTGAAAGCAAAGAAGGTCAAGCTGCTCCAGGATTGGCCAGCCCAGTCACCAGACATGAACATTAATGAGTATGTCTAGGGTAAGATGAAGAAGAAGGCATTGAAGATGAACCCAAAGAGTCTTGATGAACTCTGGGAGTCCCGGAAGAACGCTGTATTTGCCATTCCAGATGACTTTATTGATAAGTGATTAGCAGAGATGTATGGATGCAGTCCTCCAAGCTCATGATGGAGTCAGACACAATATTCAGTCTGTCTCCACTGCAGCAGGACTTTATATTCTATACTGGACATTATTTCTGTTCAGTGATGAGACTTTAGTCAAAGCAAAGTCAGACCTTACTGTCCAATTAAATCAGTCACAATCAAGGATTTTACAATGTGTGGATTTACATAAATACTGAAATATTATAAGATAATGCCGTTTGGTGGACGTTCAAAAATAGACTATGCGATTTGCTGTGGTTATTCAGGTTTAAAGTCTCTTATAAAATGAAATATTGCTCTTAGATTTGATGATTTAAGAAAGCTGCTTGCTCAAAACATAAAATTACAATAAAATAATAACATTGCTAAACATTTTGGTAACACTATAATACAGATGTATTAGTTAATGTTAGTTAACAGTGAACAAAGCAATAATTAATGTTTATTAAAGTTAACTAAACATATATTAATGTGTTATTTAATGCATTAACATAAACATATGATGTACAACAACATATATTCAGCAATATATAATATTTAAGCAAAACTTAATAAAGAGTTACCAAAGATAACCTGACAGTTTATGACAAATTATTTTTCAGATATTTGGCAAATGGTGTTTTTCCCCCCAATTTCTGTTTAACGGAGAGCAGATTTCTTCAGAACATTTCTAATCATAATAGTTTTAATAACTCATCTCTAATAACTGATTTATTTTATCTTTACCATGATGACAGTAAATAATATTAGACTAGATATTCTTCAAGACACTTAACTATTTAGTTTAACTATAGGCAGGTTAGGGTAATTTGGCAAGTTATTGTATAACGATGGTTTGTTTTGTAGACTATTGAAAAAATAAATTTATAGCTTAAAGGGGCTAATAATTGATTAAAATGGTGTTTAAAATTTACAAACTGCTTTCATTCTAGCTGAAATAAAGCAAATAGGACTTTCTCCAGAGGAAAAAATATTTTTATATATAAGTAAAAAATATCTTTATATATAAATCTTCTACTATATAGTATATATACTAATCTATTCTACATCATTATTCAGGCAGAGTGTTAATGCTTTGCTTTCATAGTTTGTAGTTTTGAATTTGATCAGTTTAATAGCAATTTGTTTACAATAGGCTATTAGTACTTCTTGTGCAAATTTGTAAATATATTAACAAACAACTATAGGGACTTTTCACACTTCACATTATAATTTCCATTCAATCAACATTTTTGTTTTCTACATTAAAATGTTGATCAAACACTATCTGTACTATTTATAAGATAAACCATGAGCTTTCTACTCACCTTGATGTGCTCTTTATTTATGTGTTTATTTGATGAATTTTTGCAGTGATTTTATTTGCTGCATCTGAATTGAAGTGGAAGCAAAAGGGAGTAGATTTAAATATTGTATGGAAATAGCTGAACTTGAACAATATAAAAAAAAACATACCTGTAGGAATAATATTAACAGTATATGACACATTTTTTCAAGATGTAAACAACATTAATTTTTATTATTTTAAGCAAATGGTGATGCCATTTAAAAAAAATGAACTGTTTGTTTATTATTATTATTAATTCATTAATGAAGTTTAGCTCAGCACTCTTTATAATAAGTTCATTCATTAATTTTCCTTCAGCTCAGTCCCTTATTTATCAAAGCTTGCCATAGCGGAATGAACAGGCAACTATTCCAGCATATGCTTTATGGAGTGGATGCAATTTCTGCCACAACCCAGTACTGGGGAATTCTAAAAAAATATATATAATTTATTGAACAAAGTAAACAATACAACTATAAATGGCCTGGTACAAAATACAAATCTTCTTAATCAGACTCTCCTTCTGTTTACTTCCTTCTTAACAATCACCGATTGTGCCCACCGATTGCGCCCTGTTTACTTCCTTCTTAACAATCACTGATTGCACCCTCTAGTGGCATATACTGATTATAACACAGTAACGCCAATAAAACGTAATGTTACATGTTTATTTTTTAATATTAATGTTAATTTTATTTTTCAAGTATATACACATCTGATTACATGTAATATAACCCCACGAACCTCTATGCAATGTACAGAGACTCTGCTGTATATTAATAATATCATTATTTCAGATATCATGCTCAAAGTGTCATAGAGATTGTATGATTGATATTAGAACTAACCAATAGGATAAGAGGGGGCGGGTAGGAGAATGTTCTCGAACCACAGGATATAGAAAAAGACAAGAACTTGTGGATGTTAATAACTAAGTGCTTAACCATAGAATTGGACTGAGAAGACTTATTTGACACAAAGTTTCAATGTCAGTCAGTTTAATGTGGAGTATAAACAAGAAATAACCACTCCCAAACGGGAATAACCTATATAAACATATCTGATTCAATGTGGGTTTTGAGATAGGTTTTTAATATAAGTGACATATATAAAATCGGCCATTTTCCATTGTCCAGAGTTAAATTCCATAACATGCCAGTTACATGTGATACCAATTTCAAGCATTCGCACATGAGCTGAATATATGAGCTAAGCTTTGACAGTTGCCAAAGTGAGATATGAGCTATATAGGAGACATATCCTGTATGTACAGTTAAAGTCAGAATTATTAGCCCCCCTTTTATTTTTATTTTTATTTATTTATTTTATTTTTATTTTTTCCAAATGATGTTTAACAGATTCAGGAAATTTTCACAGTATGTATGATAATATTTTTTCTTTTAAATTTTTTAAACACCATTTTAAGGTCAAAATTATTAGCTCCTTTAAGCAATTTTTATAGTTTACAAAACAAAGCATTGTTATACAGTAACTAAAATAAATCAGTTATTAGAAATACATTTTTTAAAACTATTATGATTAGAAATGTGTTGAAAAAAATCTCTCTGTTAAACAAAAATTGGGGAAAAAAATTAACATGGTGGCTAAAAATTCAGAGGGGCTAAAAATTCTGACTTTAACTGTATATATATAGTATTCACCCGTCCCCACCAATGTCAAGTGCAAACCAACTCAATCTCACGGCAATTCGTAACATTTTGCTTTTATGGCTAATTCGTATTAATTCATAAAATCTAATTCGCACAATTTAGTACAATTTGCTCATCACCCAATGATGGTTGCGGTTAGGGGTGGGGTTAGGTGCCACGCCTCCTTTTTAAAATCGTACAATTTCTTATGACTGAACTCATACGAATTACCCAATAAACTGCCAAAATACTGCTGATCAGGCTGGTGCAAACCTACGCCCTTGCTGCACACACACTGTAATCTGTGTATTTACTCCACTGCACTCCATATAAAAGACAGAGACTGTTATGCACCCGCCTATCTAAAGGGTCAATGATGACATGTGATGATCAACAGTAAACATGACACAGTGTCTCTTTTTCCAACAGGGAAGACCAGCAAAATTAAAGAATGTATGATTACATGCTGGCATGGCTTTGCAATCAAAAAATAAATTATAATAGAACCCAATGGGGCAAAAACAGCCCCCAACATAACCAAAGGGCAGTCATTTTGAACATTACACAAAAGGTCATGCTTTACTGTTGCATCTATTGTAGTATTCATTCATCATCTGCATGGTTTTCCTCTGGATCTTGGGGAGCGTTAGGTGAGATCTGAATGTTTGTAAAAGTTCCTCTTGTTATTAAATTAGTAGGTGTGCCTCCGGTGACCGCTGATAGTGCTGCGCCTCCAAGAGCTGCTGCTCCCGTCAATATAGCTGTGCCACAGGAGGACAGGGCTGCGTCTCCAACTGCTAAAAATAAAGTTTCAGAGATCGGTCCTCCTGTAGTAAGTAATGCTGCACCGCCGACCACTGCTGCTCCCACCGCGACCTCCTTCATCAGTTTACTTCTCTCTTCAGCCCTCATCTTTTCCTTCTTTTCTGCCTTCAGTCGTTTTTCCTCCGCTCGTCGTCTCTCTTCTTCGTCTTTGATTTTCTTCTGAACTTTCTCGTACATCTCATTGGTGTAAAACCGTCCTCCGTTCTTCTCCACCATTTTTTCGATCTTCTCCAGCAGCTCACTGACCTGAGATCTGTTTTGTTCATCTGTGTTGTTGAAGACATGATATCCACCTTTACACTGTTCAGCTAGTGCTATCATCTGCTTGTTATTTGCCAGAAACTCCTCTATGGGTGTTTTAATCTGATCTCCTCTAGTGAAGAGGATGATGGTGTATCGATCAGCTTCTTCTCCAAAGTTCTCCTGGATCCATTTGACTGTGTTTATCTCTTCATCTGTGAGTCTGACGTCCAGTCTGAGCACCAGCAGAAACACGTGAGGGCCAGGAACAGACATCTCAACGCATTTCTCGATTTCTTTCTTCAGCTCTTCTTCGCTGATTGACGTATCACACAGTCCTGGAGTGTCGATGATAGTGATGGATTTGCCATTGACCGTGTGCTGGTTTTGTTGGCAATTTTTGGTCACGGAACTTAATGAATCTTTTTCATCAAAAAGCTTTTGTCTCAGGATGGTGTTTCCTGTCGCGCTCTTTCCAGCTCCAGTTTTTCCCACCATCACGATTCTGAGATCTGCGCATTCGCCAGAGTTTAATTGTCTGTGTTTGGCAGAGTCTGAGGAAAAAAAAAGTTTAATAATATTTCAATTAAAGAAATAATAATAATAAATTTTCTTTTGGGCTTCGTCCCTTTATTAATCTGGGGTCGCCACAGCAGAATGAACCGCCAACATATCCAGCACATGTTTTATGCAGCGGATGCTCTTCCAGCTGCAGTCTATCTCTGGGTAACATCCACATACACTCATTCACACTCATACACTTTGGACAATTTAGCTTACCCTATTCACCTGTACCTCATGTGTTTGGACTGTGGGGGACACCAGAGCATGCAGAGGAAACCCATGCGAACGCAGGGAGAACATGCAAACTCCACACAGAAACGCCAACTGATATATATATATATTCATTCTTGTCGGCTTAGTCCCTTTATTAATCCGGGGTTGCCACAGCGGAATGAACCGCCAACTTATCCAGCACAATTTTACGCAGCGGATGGCCTTCCAGCCGCAACCCATCTCTGGGAAACATCCACACACACACTTATACACTACGGACAATTTAGCCTACACAATTCACCTGTACCGCATGTCTTTGGACTGTGGGGGAAACCGGCGCACCTGGAGGAAACCCACGCGAATGCAGGGAGAACATGCAAACTCCACACAGAAACGCCAACTGAGCCGAGGATCGAACCAGCGTCTCAACGACCTTCTTGCTGTGAGGTGACAGTGCTACCTACTGCGCCACTGCATCGCCCCTATATATATATATATATATATATATATATATAATATATATATATATATGAGCAATATCACACTCGTAGCAGTGTGATATGGCTGTATATCGGCACTGGTTGGAAACGTGTGTTGCGGCCGAGTGCCTTAGTGCCCCCACCAGTGCCGATATACAGCCATATCGCACTGCTACGAGTGTGAGATTGCGTTTATACAACAGTTTGACGGAATATTTGTGTATATAAAAACCAAATCAAACATGGAGAGTCCCAAAAGCCCTTTTGAATGAGGAACTACTTTATTTCGCGTTGGATTTAAATCATAAGCTGACAGTTAAACAGCTGAGCTAGCATCTTTTAAACTTTAGATCTGTAGTGTCTGCTTTCTGCTGGCTGTATGTGGGCGAAGTAATACACAAAGGGTAAAGAGGCTGTAATGTGCTGATATTACTTAAATATATCACGGCTATCAGCCAATCAGATTCGAGA